TGCGGATTTACAGTGATGGTTAGTTTTGTTTCGAACGAGGCAAGCTCGGCCTCAACATCAATGCTGAACCTGGATGTTTTTGTCGACGTACAGAGATACATAATCAGTTTGTGGAAATACATCTTGTTGAGTGGCTCGAGTCCCGCGTGCAACGAGCTCTAACAACGGACGAAACGAAGAGTTGAAAGAAAGACAGGATTGTCACCACACACCTTCAACCACATCGAAATCTGCTGCTGCTTTCAGACGATACTGAGACCAGGTAGCCTCTCGGCGACTCCAGGACCTCGATACCGAGGAGTTGGGGTGGTCAGTAAGTACATTGAGTTTAACACATATTTGGCTGGTCCGCTAGCGGCTGCGAGAAGCTGGGCAGCACGTCGATCCGAGTCGTTGTACGGTCGACAACCGCGGTCGCACTACAGTAGTCGAAATGCGTCGTGATGACTTCTAACCTCGAGAGCACAGCGAGCTGGATGCCCAGAAATACCCATAAGTTTCATGGACACACCCTAGCAGACTGACCTTGTGAGCCGACGGAAGAGATTGTCTCTGCTGTTTGGACAATTTCATTGCATACATAACCTATTCAATTCTGGCTTGGGCCGCTTGGCTGACCAGGGCAAAAAAAAGCTTGCCTTGAAAAAAATCTTCCGCATCTATCGCAAAATCTCAGCGGGCGTTCACGACGATGGCTGAATTTCGGCATCCAGCGCGATGTTGCGAGTGAGCGAGCGATGCGAGGCTGATGCGAGCCGGGGATCAAAGATTTGTTTGGTTGGATAAACAAATCGATTATCTCCCGCCCACCTCGTCAGCTCGAGCCTGAGGTAGTCCCTCCTCTTCTTTTTTCTTCTTCTTTCTATCAGTTGTTTATTTATTTTATATTAGTTCCGGATCCTCGGGTTGCCCTGTTCGGTGACGACATCAACGACGCAGGCTCCGCTGGGCCTACAATGCTTCTCGTCAACGCCAGCACGCGAAAAGGCCAGAGTAGTGAAGATGATCGGACAAAAGAGGTACCCAAGGGCATCGAGCGGGACGCGATGCGGCGCGGGAGCGGAGTCTTAGGGCGTTCAAGGCGCTGCCCGCGAGCGACGGTCCGGGACGCGTTGCCCCGTTGATGCGAGTGCGGCTGCTGAGTCCCGGCGTGGCCATCCGCTTCCAGGACACGGAACCCATGTCCCCGCTGAGCGCTGAGGGTCTACTATGGCTTCCCTATGCATCAAGATGCTGCTTGAGGTGCGTCTCCACATTTTCTCTCATATATCTTATCTTATTATATTGTATTTCCCGTTCTCGGGTGCCCTGCCCGGTGACGACGCTCTCGCTGGTGCAGCGCTGGAAGAGTCACTGGCTTTGCTGGTGCTGAACGGGCGTACGGGCTGCGGCAAGTCGGTCCTGCTGCTGCAGGCCGCCGAGTACGCGGCAGCCTCCTCCGCCTGGCTAGTCCTCTACATCCCCGCGCCCGCTACCTCGTCGACGCCAGCACCCCGTACACCTACCTACCTGCACCCGCACCTATCTCCAGCCCCGCGCCACCTGCGAGACCCTCCGCTGCATCGACACCACTGACACCCACATCGACATCGATGACTTGAAAGTGCTTGCAGGCCACTTCATGTACTGCAAAGCCCAGGGGCCGCTTCATCCACCCGAATCACTCGGGGATCCCGTTATTGGTAGAAGTAAGCACAGGCGCACCATCGACGATCATCTCGCCCACCCCGCGCGCATCCTCGTTCCCGATCACGCTCAATCTCGCCGACAGTCCCTACTCCTCCCCGTCCCATTCGCCATTCGAATCCGTTCTGCGGGCGCTTGTCCCCATCTATCGACTCGCGCCACCCACACGACGAAAAGCCGCTGCCGCCCCCGCTGTGCGTGCTTACTCGTGCGCTCTCCCGGCCCCGTCTCTGCATCCACATCCGCCTACGCCGCACTGACACGGAGAAAATCAACGAGTACTGCGCACAAATGGAGCCTGCACGTCTCGGGCCGGGGGTAGGGTTTGGGGCGCAGGCTCGGATTCAGAGCGGCGTGCGCAGACGCCCCCGAGTCGGCTCACGCGGAGTCTGCGTGTCCCGGGGCAGCGTGCGCGCAGAGTTCGGCCCTACGCCGAGCGGATATACACCTGTCATCGTACTCGGGCTCGCGGTGGCGCGCAGGCTACACGCGTGTGTGCATGCCTCTTGCACAAGTACCGCGGTGGGTGCACGCAGAGTCGGCATGGCGGGAGAATGAGCGACTCAGTTCGTTCGTTATCAGTCCTTGTACTCGAGCTTGGCGTGGCTTGGCGCGGGCGTGCGTACGAAGAGTATCGGCGGGGATTGGGGTTGTAGTGTTGTAGTTGGAGAGAATATAGTTGTTTAAAATGAGTTTGGTGGTCTTTGCTTTTGCGGTTCTGGACTCGAGTCAAGCAGCCAAAGGCATGAAGCACGCGGTTGGCAAGATGCAGGTAAAAAATGTGCATGAGGCTATCTCGCAACAATTCGCCAAAACTCGCATCGACTCGCACCCTCATCACAACCTGACCTGCGCTGGGCATGGCATTGCTACACGGTCACTTCCGAGTCGGATGGCAGTGGGGCTAAGAAGGATGTTGCATTAATGTACTCTAAACCTGTACTGCTCACAATAATTCCCTATTTAAGTATCTTAGAAGCATTGTCTTTATCTCCTTTTCTGGAATGTTTGGTTCAAGATCTGCAGATGATCTGCGGGGTCCGCAGATTCAAAATCTGCGGACCCCGCAGATGGTCCGCAGATGCTACGGAGATTATGGATCTGCGGGTTATCTCCGGGCCCCGGAGATAACCCGGAGATAATCAGATTATTTTGAATATTCCGGCCATCTGCGGGCCCCGTAGATGGCCGGAATATTTGGCGCAGATAATTGATCTCCGCCCGATCTCCGGCCTATCTGCGGGGCCCGGAGATCATAGCCTGCCCCCAGTGTCTTTAGCACATGCAGCGACAATAACCAGGAAGAACTCACCGCTCTCCCTTCTGTAAGTCGCCCACCCCATTCGCCTGCACGAACTCGTGCCGCGCGCAAACTCCCATACCCACGCCGGTGGTACTATATCCCCGCGAGAATTTGGTGTTTGCATAATCCAGCGCAGCCAAACCGCTGCACGTATTCATCTAGAAGAAAAAATAGTGTTAGTCGGTCCACTTGAATGAGATAAAAGCTGCCTACCTCTTTCTGGTCCGTCACGCCGCGCAAGTATGCTCGATACGGCTCCGTCTCGACCATATAGGCCCACCCAGGCCCCAAATCGGGATCTTTCAGCTCGCTCGAGACGAGGCGGCATTTGAGACGGAAGCACGCATCGAGCGCGAGAAATAGCGTATAGAGAAACCTAACGCGCGACGTCAACCACGAATATAGCCATGTGTGCGTTACAATGGCCTACCTTTCCTCTGGACTCGCGTCCTCCCAGCCCTCCGGGAGATTGACGCCGGGGCGAGGACAAGCGGGGCATTGGATGGCCAACTCGCCGAGTCCTGTCGCAGCGGGCCCACCAGTCGCATACGACGAAGCACGGCCCCCACGCTTCAGCAGCATGAGGTGTCGATACTCCCGGCACATGCGGATCCACTCATGGTAGCGGTCGGGGGGCTTGATCCTGGTATTGTCGGTCAGCTTCTCGAGTACGCCGTAGAAGTCGTACATAGTTGTTTTCGCTTGCAAAGTCTCGAGGTGGTATTTTTCGAGAACGACCAAGGTCGCACATGTCTGCGGCCGTTCGTGGGTTGCGGGGAACCAGCCGGCACGAAGGAGTTGTATGTCTGGCGGCCCCGCCACTAACTCGTTCTCGCATCCGCAAAAGTCCACGGCCACCTCGTGGATCCCGTTGTCGTGCAGCACAACGAAATTTTTGTTGGAGGCAATGGGCACGCTGCATGTTTTGCGCACGCGATGTCCGACCTGGACGCGCAGCCCAGTGAGGCCAGGGATGTTTTGACGAAAGTCCCGCCGGACCATTTCTGTACGCACGCGATGTGAGATCGTCTGTGCGTGCAATGGGGACCAACACGACTTACATGAATGCGATGGAGGGGGTTCTCGCGATGCCTTTCGACGATGCATCCCTCGCAATATAGCACGTCCCCAAAACATTCGTGGCAGCGAAATCGAGGAAGCTGAGTGGTAGCCCCCGCACATCCAGGGCAAATGTTGCGGTTCGCGTCTAGAGGACCGCTTCTGCACATGAGGATCGTAAGGAACCAGTCCCGTTTATTGGATATCCAAGACGATAGTGAGGGGTCCTTCGTCCCGACATTAATCATTGCTAGAATGACTAGATGCGCAAAAAAATCATACCGAAGGCTTCACTCGCTGCTTCGTGGGTCCCGGCTGCGAATCGACTTCGGGGAGATTCTGCGGTGGAATATAGTCGCCGTTGTCGTCAACACCAAGCTGGTAGCGCTCGAACGAATGCGCCGTCCAGCCATCGCCCGGATTGAAGGCACTTGTATCTTCAGGTACTGGACGCTCGACTCTCGTTGCCAATCTAAGTCTCTTGACTGGCGAGGGAGGTTCCACGGGGAGTTCTTCGATGTATAGACGCCGCTGGTCCTCTGAGACTCGGTGAACAAAGGCGGGTATGGATTCCTCTTCGGCGGCCAGATCAGCAAGCGTGAAGTTGTGGGCGTGACTGCTTCCCACAGCAGAGGAGGTGGAGGGGAGTGCGGGCTCCGTTCGCTTGCGCTTGTTGCGTGCCATGGCCCGGGACGCGAGGGGACGCGGGACGCGAGACGATACACAAGCAAAAAGCTTGTCCGATAAATCCGACTCTGTCCGATACACGACACGTCGCACGTGCTGTGCTGCGCGTTATCCAAGCACGAACTTGAAATGCACTGAATCTGAGCTCGGATGTACAAAAAATAGTAACAGAAGATTCATTTTTCATTGAAAGAAAACCTACAGCTACTAACTTACGAAGGGACATCTCAGCCGAAGCTGGGCCGTATCAGAAAAAGAGCTAAAACGACCTCGCTCAGATTTGAACTGAGACCCTCATGAGAAAGACACATGCACAAAACCGGACATTTGCATGGCGTACTACCATTATACGACGAGGTCCATTCACAGATGGTTACAAAGAGGGATAACGACCTTACTCAGGGAAACGCCCAGGAAATTAAGAAAATAATTATATCTGAAGGAAAATATGTGGACAGCGCACGTGATGAGACGGAAACGCCACGGAAATTACAAGGTATAGCGTGTATACCTAGTGTTGATATTACAAAAGAGGGCTTGAAGAATGTACAGCATCGTGCTGAATCTGCCAAAAAAAAAAAGCGTCAGTACGGCGGCGGGTGGCATTTTCCTCTGCTAACACTTTCCCGCGCTGGTTGTGCTGAGGAGTCCCTGGTTTGAGTCTGCCAAACCAGCACAGCCAGCCCGTAAAGTGTTAGCAAAGGAAAAAAAAGGAATACTTAGGGACTCGCCGACCGCACAATCTTTGTCGCCAAAGAAAATAAACTCATCACTTGGCCGGGAATCGAACCCGAGAAACTGCCGCACATTTAGTGCAAATGAATCCGTGACTTTCGGGCAGTGCACACCATGCGCTACCAAATGCTTCCTACAAGAAGGCTTCATTGGACTTAATGTCGAAGGCCGGAGAATACAAAATGCAGCCGCGCTCGCACAAGACGCGTTTGACGATGGCGACAAGAGGGAGGAGTGAGGAGGCCGTTGACCGCCAAGAACACGCACCGCTCCTTTTCGAACCCATCGTCTAGCTATCGGAAGTACACCAAAGGTTTTGCGCGTCTACTTGAGAATGTCAGTAAGCGGAGAGCAAGGCCGTTATAAGTTGATACATACGCGGATTCGCGCGTTCGGGGTGCTTGAGGTACGAGTGTCGGAGGAACGTCGATGAAGGGCGTCCACAACAGCGAAGAGAGCAGAGCCGCGGAGGGGGTGATTCAGGAAAGAGCTTCATCATCATCCGGGGGACACCCACGGGGAGCTTGGCGGAGCAATCACGAGGGGTGTCCACAGCGACAAGAGCCCAGAGCCGCGAGCCATCGATGTGAAAGCTTCAGCGGCAAGGTCGTTCGACGGGAGTCCGGGACGCGGACGTTGTCCATGGATTTTCCTTTGCCCACCTCACGTGGTTGCTGCGCACAGCCGAATGGTTGCCGCACTCCCACGGATCTCGCGGAGGGTTCCGCCACTTTCAACTACCACTACGTCGACCCACAACGAGCTCCGGTTTAGCGTCAAGGTCCCTTCTGGCTCTTCTGGTAATTTTGCCAGATCTCATCATCTAAGGATCAGCTGAAAGAAAGTCTCCGCAGAACAAAACTTATGTTACTTTCCATCTCGCGCGAGGGAAACCCAGTTTTACATGGGATTACAGCGAGGTGCGTGTGACAAATTCATTTTGGTATTCGATGCAATATGTTAACATATCTACAGAATTTCCAGAAAGTCTCCGCAGAACAAAACTTATGATATTGCTCCCCATCTCGCGCGACGGAAACACAGTTTTACATGGGATTACAGCGAGGTGTGTGCGATAAATTTATTTTGTCGTTCAAGTTCAATATACATTGACATATCTCCAGAACTTTCAACCTCATCGGGAAATCGACAACGTCGCCCATGCAGGTTGCATCCGACTCTGAGTGTGCGGCGACTTGGAAGCGACTGAATGCAAAGTCACCCAACCATCCAAGGTTTTCTTTCATCGGGTATGATGTAGACTACGGATACATTCTACTCCGCTTCCCAAATGGCAGTCGCCATGCTCTGTCGCTCTTCACCAAGCAAATCCTTTCCTCTACCACGAACTGCCCATATCGGGACAACACAGCCACAACCTGCTTCTGGCAGCCTCAACGCCCATCACCTCATTCCGTCCTCTTCGGTGCGGAAATGGAGGCGCTATGTTCCACTTTCACATTCTCGTGTTCTTTCTCTCCCGCCGACCTCGCCGTATTTACTGCCCCTACCTACACCTCCTTCTCTGCGAGCCCAAGTAAGATCCCCCAACCGCGAGCCGAAGCACAAGCTCGATACCGCGCTCGGAATCCGGAGCGCGAGCAGCAGAAGGCACGCGACCGGATGAAACACCTGCGAGCAGAGAGGCTCCGGCGTCGGCAATCCTCTGAACGACTTCGTGCTAGGTCAGTGCGTTTAATGTAAGTAGGCCACCCGCTGATTTATGATCGTTGCGCAGTCCCATCTTCCTGCGCTATCGTCTCCACGTTCACAAGCATCGTGGGATTATCTACGCAGAACGTGAAAACCCCGAGCTGTATCGAGCTCAGCTGGCTCGTTTTATGGAGAAGGGAGGCCCCCCGTTCGACCCCAACGACGCTATCTTTATACTCAAGCACGCCGCTGAGAATCCGCCCGGCCCACACCCCAGCGAAGAGGAGGTCGAAAGGCGTCTGAGGGAGCTGAACCAGTGCATCTTGGTTTTGAATATTGCTCCGGACGACACTGAGGAGGAGGCGGCATGGCAGAGGATCTTGCACGAGGGTGATGTGAGTGACGACGACCTGGAGTTCATGTTTCGGCGGGCGATCCCCGAGCCGACGCTGGAGGGGATGGAGGCGTGCGCGTGTCGTTGATCCTTTTCTGGTTCCTAATTTTTTTTTGGTCGCGCACTCGTCGACAAAAATGTACTAAAATTTCACAAGATACAAGGCTTTTATTTCTACGCTATCGGCGGCCCATTTCACTCGACTGCCTCAAACACATAATCGCGGCCCTCCACGCAGGCCGTGGCGACAAGTTTCTAAAGAGAAGGACAATGTTAGAGATCTGTCTACCCGTTCGTCAAGCCATGGGCGTACCTTCTTGCGTGGCGCGCGATGATCGGGGCAGCGACAGGTCTTGGACTCGGACACAGCGTCCGCCTGGGGTGGTGTACGTTTGTTGCCGCCGGCTAGTCCTGCGAGCAGTACAGCGTCGGGGTCAGCGCGAGTCTGCGGGTGGCGCTGTGCAATGGCGGCAGCCTCCTTGGAGGAGGGCGTGCATGCTGGTATGAGGTGAGCTGGTGCCGAGATGGATATGTGTGAGTGGTTTGGGCGTGCGAGAAGGGGCGGTGACAATGGGCGCCGAACGACCTGGCACAAACGTGTAGATGGGATGGGCGTCACTGAGCTCCATCGGGCCGTCGTAGGTCGGGAGGTCGGTGGGACGCGACTTGCGTCGTTCGCTACGACTGCGCTGCCAGTCCGCCCAAAAGGAGCGGGATCGCAAGATGGGGGCTTTTTTTTGGCTCGCGGGCATGGTGGTGGTACGTAGGCAAACAAATTCTGAGTTGCTTACTACAGGTTCGTCGCGGATCAATACACACTCACGCAACTTAACCAGGAACATGAATTTTGACTTCGCTTTGACACTTCCCAACTCCGAAACCGACACCGGAGCCATGCAGCGTCCGCCCCTGTGCGCGGTTTTCAGCAGTCAGCCTGTGGCCGCGCCCGGCAACCCTCGCGCCGAGGCGCAGGCGCGCTATCGTGCGCAGCATCGGGCTGTTGAGCAGTCCAAAGCGCGCGAACGTATGGGCCGCCTGCGCAAAGCGCGCCAAGAAGACGCAGAAGGTTGGCGGAAGAAGCAGTCGTCGGACGCACTGCGAGCAACGTGAGTTCTGGTCCTCGCACCACCATCTCATTTGCTGACAGGACGTGCAGCGCCTTTTTTTCGGTTTATCGTCGGCACGTCCGCACCTGCCTCAGTGCAACGCTCTCACATCCTCAGGCAGCGAGGGTTCGTGGAGATGGACCGGCGCGGCAGCTGTCCGAGGACGAAGTAGCAGCATGCCTCGGGGATATTCGCCTCATTTTCAAGTTCACCGACAAATGCGCCGTGGCGTGCTTCGACAAATTAATTGCCGCAGAGGCGGATGTCGATGACGACGACGTCGAGTTTATGCTCCGCCACTCGACGCCCGAGCTCACCTTGGAAAATCTTAATTGCTGCACGCGGGGATTGTAACACGACGGCTGTTTGTAAGTAGATAACAAGTTACATTCATTGGAAGGCAGGACACGAGTAGCAAGACATGCATAACAAGTTACATTCATTGGGTCTGGACACGGCGGGACAAGAAGACACGAGTACGTAGTCAAACAAGACATGGACACGCGGTAATTACACGCAAGAGATTTTGGACGCGGGCAGATGGGTCTGGAAGGTATCAGCAGCGCTAGGTGTCTCGAGCGGGAACACTTACGACGCATTGCGCTATGCCGTTGTGCGAGGGGTTCGCGCTTGGTAAAAGTAGGCGCGAATTCGCTGCAAATGTGGCATGAGATATAGTTCAGCAAGACGCGCCAAAAAGAAGGACTCACCACGTTCGTACGGGCGACAACATAATCGCGCTGAATGCGCTCGGTGGTAGATAGCTCGAGGAGATCGTCGTCAAAAGCCATGCCGGGGTACGGCTCCTCCTCGATTGGCAAGCGCCATGGGAAGTTCTTCCAGTAGCGTTCGTAAAGGTCGGGCAAAAAGGTGTGAAGGGGGCCTCGGTGCAGGGCCATAAGAAACGCGTTGATCTGGGGTTGTAGCCAGGCGAGGCGCGCGCCCTGGAAGCGGAAGGGCGGGGGAGGTGGGGGGTCCCGAGACTTCTTGCTTTTCCCTTTCTTGTGCGAACGCTGGGCAGGCATGGTCGGATGAAGAAGTTGAGTGCAATTGATTGGAGGGTAAACAAGTGGGGGATTCAAGAAAAAGCGGCTACTTCGATTATTTTATATACATACTGCGGAATTGGGCAAACACGTAAACAACCGGTCAGTCTAGATCGCTCAGCGCGCCGCCGCGCCTCGCGCGTCTCGAAAACCAACGCTCAACTCCTTCTCCATCAGTGGGGAGCGGGTCTGTGTGAGTGATGAGGTGAGGCGTGCGCTGAATCCTCGCGGGGGTACGTACACTGGGGCCCGTACGGATATTCCAGAGGGGGAGGGGGGGAGTGGTTTTCGCCTTGCGCGTCTAGGGCGTACCCGAGGATCATGCTGGCGTGGGTGCGGCGGTGGTGGTGTACGTGTATGTAGGACGTATCGGTAACCCAGTAGCCAGTTGCGTCGTTGTCGAATACGAAGGAGCGTGCGGGAGCG